TCTGACAATTTTTTACTATTATGATACAAGTCATGAAAACACTGATTCTTTTACTCTGATACAATACCATTTTTGTAATGTTACATTGTAATATTACACAAAAATAAAGAAAAATCAGACAAAAAATTAAAATTAATTTATAATACAACTGCTTGCCCCATACTTCCTGAATAAAACAAAATGTATTATTACCAATTATTAATAGATTAGAGACCTGTCAAGTATACTGGGTATGTTGTTCACAACCTGTGGGATTATCATTCAATGCAAGCACCAGATGTCCAAATTATTGCTAGCCTAAAATTTATAAATTAACCCTATATTACTAATACCTCAGTATTTGAGGAATGTATTAAAATATATACTTTTGATTTGTTTCCTCATGAATAAATCCATGGAAAAGAGATAAGAAATTAAAATATACTTAAACTTGACATAAGTGTTCTGTTATCTTAAAACCATATCTGCAACAACAAACTACTCTTGAACACTTTGAACTTCAGTATGAAATACATTTATATTAAAAACAAATAATAAAAAACATGCTCTGTAAAATAAATTAAAATATTTCATACGTTAACTTAATTCACTAGAAGAATTTTAAAAAAACCTTTATATATTGATATAAAATTATTTCTTGCTTCTTTGCAGATTGTATGGTTTTATTCTATAATTGCAATAGAGACATTTTGAAAACCAATTTAAAAAGATTTTTATACAATTCTGAGGAAATGGCAAAGCTTATTTTGTAACTTATAAACACCCTTCCCTTCTGTTAATTAACAAGAGAAACAGTCAATGCCCAAATTATCAAGTCTATTGTCATAAAATGATTTGACTAGAATAGATCACATCAGATACGTATATACTTTATCACAAAGAATTATAATAACATTGCGTGTAAGCTGCACACAAAGCACCTTTGTTAATAATACTGTTTCACTGGTGTAAAAGTGCAAATTGAATGACATGCTGCTTTGCATCACGTTTTAATGAGTATTTTCATTTATAACAAGAATTAAGTGGCAAAATTGAATGCAATTAACTGAAATAACAATATAAAAAATTAATAGCAAAAAAGAAAGTATGCAACTCTGAAATGGATCATAGAATAAACAAGAACAAATTTATGTACATAATGTTTTGAATTGTATAACTTTCATCTTTGTGGTTGAATGCTTGTTTTAGTGGATGTGTTGTTTTGATACCTATGTTATCTTTCTGAATCAAATGGTAAATTTAATGTGAAATGTCTGCTACATGCTCTACATCATATTTCAGTCCTATGTGCTGTGTATCTTGAAAAATCACATTTTTCAGGAATTCATACTGCAATGCCTCTAAGATCAGATCAAGGCTTACTACATCAGTTGTTTATTCATGCGTATACATGCAAGCACTTCAAGATCTTATTCTGCATTAAACACTTTTTACTGGGAGTGATAACTTATCCTCTGCCATGTACAAGGGTTTCATGATATATGGCCAGTCAGGTAAGATGTCTATTCAAAGTCAATAAGTGTGCTTTTTCTTAATTGGCAACAAAGTACAGTGTTTAGTTTTCATTTGCATCCAACTTCATTAGAATAAAATGTGTAAGGAAGTACTTTGAGATGCTTTTTTTCCTTTTTGGAATATTTACGGCAGTCACAGTGTTTGGCTATGAGAAAACAAACAGGTGATTAATTATGAATTAGACAACATATACTGTTTCACAGACCTTTTCCACCTATTTTTAAACAATATTTGAAATTATTTCTTTTTCATTTGATAACATGTGTCTGATACAATACATGGAATGCATTACACAGAACCCTTTACACTTAAATGGACATGAGTGTTCCAATGACTTTCAAAGGAGGTAATGTTTTATTAATACTGACATTCTTCATTAGATGTTAATGCACATCTCTGACATTCTCGCAAGATTAATTGCAGCACAAATGATCATGAGCACACATGCAGTCTTGTCATGGTCATCAGCGCACACGCACATACACACATGTACACACACACAGTCACAGTCACATTACGATGTGGGAACAGGTAAGACACCAGCCTCATGAAATGTTTTTGAAATGTATGATTTCTGTGACAGTATGCATATCTGTCCCTGCATAATGCACTGTCAAGTCACTCAATCTTTCTGAAGTCTAATAACTGTGGGGACAACCGCACTTAAATGGGAGTTGGGAGCACAGTAAAGTCCTGCAATGCTGATTTCACAGTTTCATAGAGGGGCCTCTGGCTTTCATCACTGCAGTAGCCATCAGGGGTACACAGAGTCTGCAGTTTAGTGAGGTAGCTGTCAAAGTTGTCGTGGCTGAGTTTCTCTGGACCGGGAGCCCCACCAACAAGCCCTCCTGAACCAGGCCCTCCGGCACCACCTCCACTTGCTGCTGGCAGACGAACATGTTCCAACAGTGTAATCACATTGTTGCGCAAGCTCTCGTAATATTCATTCAGGTTGTTGTTACGCTGCGTCAGCACTTGAGTCTCCTGTGGAGAAGAACATAAATATTAATAAGGACAGGTCACAAAGAACAAAGAAATGAGAACAGAAATAAAGAAAAGGTAATTTCTTTGGGTAAACAAGCATTTTGGAAATTGGCTTTTGTATTTGATTTTATACTTTTGTCCATATATTTTAGTTTAATTTAACATAAATCATATTTCAATTTTTAAAAATTACAATTCTCAATTCAATAGTATATTGAAATTGAAGAGTTTATTTCATAATATAACTTCCAAATAATTAATAGTTTTTATATAATTTTTAAATTTTGCAAATGTCTTCCTTGATACATGTTTTTTATCAATATGAGTAAGTAAGCATTTATTTTTAAAAGAATAAATGTTTAAATGTTTTTTTCTGAGATAATTTGTAGCAAATCATGGGAATTGGTTCTTGAGTAAGTTTGTAATGTAGTGTGATTGATAAAAGGTATTTTGTTTGAGGGAGAAAATAAATTTGGATTTGATTGTAATAAAATATATATGTAAGAAAATCATTTTTTTATATCAAGTTCAGATTATTAACATCAAGTATGCTGTATTATTGATTTTTCCTTTTTTTATTGGAACCGTTGGAATTTGGAAAATGGTTTTCTCATTTCTCTCAGACAAAAATTAAAAAAAGTATTATTGCTATTGTTTCTTTCTGTAACTAACATATTTTTCGATGAAGTTCTTAATTTTATATTAGACCTACCAAGCAAATCAGCACTCACTGGAAAACAGATGAAACCATGAGTCGGCTGATTTTCTTGGACAGTCTGCCTTTTCTAGCTCAAATGGAAATTTTGGTACAGCCATAAGTTCACTTCTTCAACCACATTCTGGAATAAAGTATAGAGATATTACTCCAGATGGGTCTTGGATTTTGTAAGATTTGGAAGATGAGTTAGGTAATGAAGAACTTTTTAGCGAAGTTCACAATCCAGTTTGAATGAAGGTTTAGTTCGTAATATAGCACATAGAGAGCAGCATTGCTTTTCGTGGCGGTGACCTTTGCAACTAAACGTCTGCGCTCTAGTGGTGAAATTGAGAAGTTATTTAAACTCTCTGAACCAATGGCAATCTGAGAGAATGGGAGTACCATTCAAACGAACGGAATTACTAGACTTACTTTGTTGATTTCCTTGATGATTACATAACTTTACGTAGTTTCTTTTAATAATGTCACTCGGTTTTCTATTACAAATGTGGAAAATACAGGAGGAGAGCTATGCTATTTCCAAGAAAATAAATAATTGAAACTGATTGCCGGAAACCTGTTACTATGAAATACTAAAGAAAAAAGTGTGGTTTTGTGATAGTTATTACACATTGAAATAAATATTGTGAAACAGATGATTAACCAATACACTTGTCCGAATCAACTTATTCAATAGGCATTCATTTAAATTTCACGAACCTGTGTAATAATTATAATGAATTAAGGGCCGATGATTTTATTATAATATGTTTGAGTAGGATAAATACTAGTTTACAGACCGCAAGATTTGTAGTATGTCTGATTTTTTAAAAAAAATTTGATATTCATTTTTATTTTGAACAATATTCTGTCATATTTCCTTCATTTCGTTTTCTAAACGTTTCTTTTCATGTAATTCTTGAGTTAATAATGACAAACATTTTTGGTTTTTATTTTAATTTTTTATACAGCATTTGCTTATAGAGGTCGTAGAGTTTTAAAAATTTTGAAAAGCTTCGCATGTTTCATTTTGTTCATTTATTTTCTGTTCATTCTATTATTTTTGTCTCTTCTTCGGTACAAATTTTCATTCTTGCACATAAGTACGTGCGAGAAGCTAGTACATTCTTTTTAACTAAATTTTGTATTCGAATAATTTTGCTGACATTCGTTGATAATTGGAAACTTCCATACTCGTGCTGAAATATTATTTATTTGTTAATTATACTCCTTTGCTTGGAAGTTGTAAATTAGCACATTGTCACTGAAAAAGATTTCTTAGTGTTATCGAAGAAGAAGACAAAGACTATGAAAATAAATTTTATATAATAATTAAAAGGCATTCGCCTGAAAAATTCTAGGGAAATATCTCTATAAATCGAGCCACAAGAATGTTATTGCCATCATGCTGCAGAGTATTCGTACACTTACGACATAATTTGAAATATGAGAGGCTTTGAAAATCGTAGTGCTCGCATGTTGGGAGGTACCTTAGTTCGCAACTAACTGAATTTCTTGAGTCATAGAAATACATTTATTATTATTATTATTATTATTATTATTATTATTATTATTATTATTATTATTATTATAAGAAGTAGAAGTAGCATTGTTTTGTTGTTCATGTTGTTGAACTGATGCGCTAATTGGGCAGGGTGGGGATGGGAGGGAAGTGGGGCGTACTTGTCGCCAATGGCGCCAAGTGCGCCTTCATGGCCGTGATGGTAGGTGCGCAGGCGGAGCCAATCTGAGACTCGACGCGCGCGTGTCTCGCGCTGCAGCTCAGAGATTCTCTGCCTCGGCGTCATGAGATCTCCGTGGGCTGCGCCACACAGCCGTTTGGCCGCGGGCCCGCCGCCCGAGCCACCCGGCCCACCGCTCGCCCGGCCCACCGCCGCCGCCGCCCAGGCCGCGCGCCCCGCCGCCCGCCACGGGCCGCGCCGGGCCCGCCTACCGCGTCCACACCTGCGCACGGCAGCCCCGCCGCGAGAGGCGTCATCAGCCAGTCTTCTTGCCAAGAACAGGTCAAGACAACGCGCCCCCCGCCCGCTCAGTCCGCGCCCACGCCGCCTCACGAGCGGCGGCGCGGGCTGAGAGCGAGGGCGGGGAAAGCACGGGAGGGGTGTCGCTAGAGCTCTCAACATTCATCGCCGGGGAGGCAGAATGGTAGACGGCATGCGTATTTTACGAGAAATGCTAAAAAACAGATATAACACATGTACTAGTACAATACTTGCATTTACCCCTCGTCGGGGAATGACCTGCAACTGTCAGGATATTGAAAGATATGATGAAAATCTTCGAAAATTACAATTTTTATAGAAATATTTACCTATATTTTATACAGATAAAGATGAAATTGTTTATAATAATTAATATTGCACATTTTAAGTAATTGGAATGGGAATTCTGGATGCCATAATTTTGTTTCAAAATCTCTAAGAATGATAATTACTGAGTGTTTCACAGGTAAAGTTTGATTAAGTGACCAGCATAATTTTTTGAAGATGGTAACGAAGATTCACTATTACGTATTGCAAGTAATTTGTTTTTCAAATTTCCAAAATCAATTTTTATTCTATTTCATTTTTATGAAATATTGATCAAAGCTGTCAAAATGATCTTAAATTTAAGATAATAGACAATTTTTTAAAACACAAATCAATAAAAAACACATTTAAAAATATTAATGTGATTTATTTTACGCAGATAATCTTAAAAGTCCAAAATTATCCGTAAGGAAGAAATAGATTCTCGCATATTCATTATCAACTTTTTACATTTTTCAAATAAACACATGATTTAAACTATACGAGTGAGACGCTGAGAGAAGTTTTAAATTGGTTCTACGGGAGAAACAGTTTAATGTTACAAGGAAATTGTGAGCCATTGAGAGCCCTAGACGTCACCTCATGGGGAACAATCAACAGGTGGAGCAGTCTGGTTTCGAAGATCTTGCAATGACGCAATGCCTTTGTGAACACTGTTGAAATTCCGCAAATTTATAGCATTTAGTTTATACAGAGTATTATCGTATTACGCCGAAATAAAGTATTTACTGATACTTAAGGAAAGGAACAAGCAGATGAATGTCACGTAACCATTGTTTGGAGATAAAAGTAACATTTTTTGTCAAATTAATTGAAAGTCTGATCAGAATCAAAATACCGTGACAAAAGGTGGAACGTGCTCTTAAATTTGAGTTTAATTTTCAAAAACAATAACTTTAATATTTACAACAAATGGATTTGACATATTTCCAAAAGTTTATTTGAGCTGTTCAAAATTAAATCACGAACGAAGTTATGTGGAAAGTGCTTCAGGTAACGGTGAATAAAAGGATTGCAATTCATTGTTGCACTCAGATTTTAAATGTACACTTCACAAATAACTTTATTAAAATTGTTACACTTTTCTACTAACCCTATCTTTAAACAGCGCTTTGGCATATCAAATATCTTAATAAAATGATTTATTGCATTAATAAAAATCTAAAAACAAAAGAGTAAAATTCGTGATAATTGAAATATAATTAATTGTATTAACCCAATAAAGAAACAATTAACGAAATAATTATAAAATAAATGCATTAAGTTGTGTACATAATGAAACCCTGAAAATTTATCCGCATAAAAAAAACGTATGAAAAAAAATGTGTGGTTCCATCTTCTCTTTTTCTCTCGAATTTGTAAATATCATATTAGAAAAAATAATTATGATCAATAATTCAAGAAACGACAACTTTCTTGATAAGTTTTTTTCTTCTTTTAACGTACAACAAAATAGAGAACCTTGCCAGTTTCATGGCGAATCTAACCGATATCGTTCATTTATTAAATACATTTCAGCAATATATTAAGAAACAAAACTTTTTCGTATGTCTTTGCATACCTTATTAAAATAACGAGTCTTTCATTAAATGATGCCTCACTTTCTAATAAAATTTTAAATAATCAATATATCGGAGAGACAATGATTTGTACCCAAGTGTGTCTCCTGTAATCGTTGAACGCAATTTTAATTACAATGGTTTCCATGAATTGATTGCAATCTGAATACCAGACTTTCTAAATATTAATTTGAGTGAGAACATGTAATTTGTAAATAAGTTCCACTTTACAGTTTTATAGAAGACAAATTAAAGCATCGTGTTTTAAAAATTAAATGATTTATCATTTTGTGCGAGATTTTGCGTGTCTCATCATCTTTCATTGGATTCAATTTGCCATTAATTTGCTTTTGCCATCAAAATGTTGCAAGGCCTCTTAAACTGATAAATGTATTTGGTCGAATGAAAGTAATATACAATTGATATTTTCAACACTTGTGATTGAATTACCTTCTCAAGCTTTGTAGCGTGATAGTTTTATTTGTACGATTTTATTATTAGCAAGTAAAATATTAATTGGAATTGGTGATATAAATGGCACCGAAAGAAAATTCATACCAAAAAAATGTGAAGTTTATGCCATAGTGAAATAAGTATAATAATCTTACCGAATAATCACCTTTGGATTTAATTGTCATTTATTATTCTTGTTTTACTTGTACTATTACTTATTTCATACTTGCGTCAAATTATTACATTCCTTAAGTATCCAGAACACTTCCATCCTTTCTGCCAAATGTGTTTTCCTAAACCAGACTTCTCCACACAGGAACAATGAAACAATACTTAAGTGCAATTTAAAGCTTATAACTTGAATTTCTTGTTTTGTTAAATGTTGACATTAAACAACATTATTTGCTTCAAATTGCAAACACACTTTTATTGTAATGTATTCTGAACTCTGAAATCTGCGTCATGATGAAAAGCTTGATAAAGGAAAGATTTCAAAGACATCTTTTGGACTTTTCATATTGACGCAGAAATATATAATCTATTTGCAAAGCACACACCGCTTGCTGATTGATACATGTCACCCATTGCTGAACATATTTACAACAGTTGAGAAAAGGTATCTAACTACAACACTGCATTGAAGCATACGAGGAAAAAGCAGGGTTCTTTTTTCTAGATATATTTATAAAATAATAAAAGCAAGGACGTTATTAATTGCTATCACATTGTGCGACTTGTCGGAAACGAATACTTATACGAAAAATAAATATCTGACATAACACCACCTACTTCATGTCAGGTAACTCATGAATAAAATCGAAAAATAATAATTTATTTATTTTTAAAGTAAAGAATTTAAGCTTCAATTTAAATAAATGTTTTCTATAAGACTCATAATTGCAACAAAATAGGAAATAACAACTACAACTAAGAGTAAATATACAAAATCAATATAAGGATCAAAGTTTAGTTTATGCTCGCTTTGTTTTCTACTTGTACTTCTCAGAAATCTAAAATTATTGGATCATATTCCAAAGCCTGAATATAATTTTCCGATAAACTAATTATAGTTCAATGACAACAAACAAAAAGTAATTAAGCGGAGATGCTGAGGTAGCAAAATAATAAAAGCTCTATGAAGATCCAGAGGGGAGGGTAAGGATAAAAAAGAGGCTTAGGAACTGACAGCAGTATGCATACAGGCCGAAAGTGGTGGGATCATGCAAGCGAAGTGAACACAACGGCACTAGGGCTTACCTTCAAAAGTAAATGCTCTCTCCAAAGCTGATAGTCAGGAAGGGAGCTGATCATGACCCAGAAATGAAACGAAATAAAAAATAATTTAGCCAAGGAGTCAGTTTACAAAAGATCAGTATTGTGAGAGAGGAAAATTTGTGGACAGGACATAATCAGAAAGGAAATGGTACACGCTACAAATGAAATTCAACTCTTTCGTGGTGAATCATCAAGGCAGCTGTTTGCTGACAACTGCCCTTTTCTCAGGAGATTTTCTTTTTGAAGGATCCTCTCCGTACCTAACGTGACACCTGAAATGTCAGTTTGGATAGGTTCGTTCCTTTATTAATCACATCTGGAAAACATTAAGAAAAGAGCAATTGTAAGCAATGGACATGTACCAAGTACACATACAAAATAGCTGGATTGGCGGCTTCCTTAGGTCACCCTGGAGAGATCTGGGCACAACTAAGATAACAAATGAAGGTATAAAGATACAATCTGGGGGAACATGCTCTCAGCTACGGGACCATTTCACAATGCACTACGACATGAGGTGTAAATACGATATAACTGCACCAACAAAACTACGATCTAGGGGGACGCATTCATAGAAATAAAAGGTTAGACAATGTCATGCACGAGGAAGAACGATACCAATCGCAAGCTTGGGAAAAGAACAAGGAGCTTAGGGAACACAGAGTAAATATGCCCACAATAGTTGATGAAACAATTCTTATTATTTTTTGTTCGCATCCGGATGTGTGCAGCAGCGAGTGCTTGGGCGAGTGGGGGGTTGGGCGGGCGGCGGTGGCGGGCGCCGGAGCGGCCTTCGACGTCCTGGATGGGGCCCACTGGTCGTCGAAGACCGCTCCACCGCGGCCGCCGCCACACCTGCAACACCACTCGCGCTCTCGAACGAGCTCGCTCGAAGCGCTTTGCACAGAAGGCACATTACATTGCAATTGGTGTTATTACACAAAAATACAATTGGTATCTCTGTAAAGTCGTACACGCCTTCAGGGAACGATCACTCGACTTAACGTCACTGTGGGAAAGTCACCCTGGAGACGTCTTCGACGTTGTCAGAGGCGTTTATCTTAACGCCATTTTTTTTATTAAATTGCTTAACTTTAAGCATGAGATATTTTCTACGAGTTCTGTTTGATTTTGGTAGGACGATCACAGCACAGAAGTCTTCTGGAAGGCTCAAGGTAATGCTTAAGTATATGTACACTTGTTTCAAATTAGTTTGTGTATTTAAGGGTACTTGTAGTGGTTTGTTTATTTTTTTACAATACTACCCACTACATGCTTTTGGCTTCTTGGAACAACATTTTGGTACGTTCCATTATTGAAAACAACTCCGGACGGCGGGCTGAGTTTTTTTCATTTGACTAACATTGGTTTTATTCTATTGAGGTTTTTAGTAAAATGAAGATCTTAGTTGAATAAGATTTTACTGTTCATCAGAATCTGTTAATCTTCTGCCACAAGTGCCCTTCAGAAACAATCAGCTTTAAATGTAGGCCATCTTACTTTCTGTGTGTATTATTTAGGCATAGTACATTCTGTATGAAATAAATCAATAGATACATTCATTGTAAATATTATTAGAGCAATGTATTTCATGTTAACTTTTGTAGTAAGGCCATTATCATAAGAAAAACCAGAGAACATTTATGAACTAAATAAAGTTTTGCTGGCTTAGGTACTGATGTTTTAAGAGTATTGCTTGAAATGAATTTTTACTGATGTATCCTAGACTGACGTAACATGAGCTTTAAAGATTTTCCACACAAATGTTCCAGAATATATTACATCTACGAAAAGTGATCTTTCTTAAATATATGAAAACTCAATTGCAGAAGGATTCTTTTTTGTCGACTTGAGCTCTTTCGCATAATACTTTCCAAAATAGAATATTCTAATTCTTCGAATGAATTTACATTGGAATGCGTTATCTTTGTTCGAGAGATATTGCTAGGTAGACATTTTTCTTATCTACCTTGATATTCTTTGATTTAAAATCGCTAATTTTTGAGATTATGAATATTGTTTGCTTGACTTTTCCTCGTGTTTATTCTCAGTTATAAATGATTACATTCTTGAAATGCATAATATAAAGCCATTTGCAACATTATTTTATATTACCGCTTGTGCTATAACACACTCCTCTACATCAGGATATAATCCACGTGAGTCAAATCATAAATCAGCATCATGCTCTATATTCAGAACATAAGAGCAACAAACACATTTTAAAACTTTTGTCATTCTTTTCTCAAAACCACCTACAAATTGCATCTATGTGTATTGTAGCGAGTTAACAATGCTCAAAAGAGTCAATTATTACTGATCATATCCCGAAACCAATATTTCAGTTCATCACTAATACTCCATGTGTCGTTGATGTCTTTAGAAAGACGTTTATGCCTGGGAAGCACTTCATACAGAGTAACAAACTCAGTGTGTGATGGTGTAGTACTTGTACATTAAGTAATCTCGAATTACTTGACGGCTTTGGCAAAAGTGCACCGAAGAACTAAAATTGATTTTGATCGATATTAGTCTAACTGGTTGAACGTTTGGGTTATTATTGAGTACAACAAAACAGCGTTTTTTTCATTTATTTGAGTAGTAATGTGCTGCACCTGAATCCATTTTGGTGGAATAAATGAACACATAATGGCCCCCTAACTCGTTTTCTAGGTTTTCATTGTCGGGGCTCTTTAGTGCGAGTAATGGCTCATTTTCTAGAATCGTAGACTGAGCTTTTGACCGTAGCAAATATCCTTTTTCTGTAAGAGCACGTGGCTTCTCCAGGCACCTCTCCACTCCAATCGACTCCCAACCAGACTCATCCTCTGGGCTAGACCTTAGCATTCCACGCTCGACGCGCGTGCCTCTCTCAGCCGCCGACCCGCCGCGCGCCCCGCCCACCCGCGCACCCAGCCTCACCTGCAGGCGGCTTGGCGTACATGGCCGCCATGTCGTCCTGGTACTTGCTCTTCTTGACGGGCGGGTGGTGCGGCGCCGCGGCCACCGTCGCGCCGGCCAGCGGGCAGCCCGACAGGCTGCGGTGCGTGAGGAAGGAGCCGTTCACGTGGCCCGAGCCGTCGCAGCCCGGTGTGGGGCAGTTGACGCCGTCGAACTTGATGGCCGTCGCCGCCGCCACCGCTGCCGCCGCGGCCGCCGCCTTGTGCTGGTCCATGCCGGCGCCCGCGCCGCCTCCGCCGCCGCCGCCGCCTCCCGCGCCACCGCCACCGCCGCCGCCCCCGCCGCCGCCCGACGACTCGAGCACGCGCAGCTTGTTGCGGTTGGCGATGGGGCAGCCCGACGCGCTGCGAATCACGCACTGCCGTTGCAATCTCGGAGGTGGAGTAAAGTACATGCGAAATCGTCAATGCAATTTGTTGAGCAACTTACTTCAAGTCTAAGGCACTGTGAAATCATACATTCGCTTTTCATTCCGATGTAAATCGACATGAATTATTGTTTTAAAATAAAGAATCGAGAACAATACCCTGTTTATTACTAAGTGTGCATATTGTGTGGAATATTGACATAAGGTAAGTGCCCCAAAGGCTGACATTGAAAGAAAATATTTTCGAATTTGACTGAGTAAATCCGAAAATAAATGAAATGCAGTTAACACGACTTGGACAGTATTTATGTTATTTGGCACAATGTATGTGTATATAAAGTTGAAGACATTTTTATTTATTTTGAAAATGGCCAGGAGGCGTGGAAACTTTTAGCTAACACATGCGAAATGGGACAACTGTCCGACCTGATTAATGTTTCTAAAACAGACTCTCTAGGATTTATTGAAATGGTATTATTTAAGGACGAATTAAAGTTAAATATTGAATAATTCTTCAGTAAAATATTTATAAAATAAAGATAATTTGGCAATTATAATGAAAGAATAAATTAAAATTCAAGTGTTTAGTGCCATTCTAATACCGCTTTTAAGCAGTATTTATGTAGGAAAAATTTAATGTAACATTTTCATCACATTCTTAAGAAAAATAGGTTCAAAATAGGAATATAGTTAAATTTCATAATGTCATTTAATCAAAATAAAGGAATGTTATTAAAATTTAAAATTTTCTTCGTTGATTCTTAATTTGACATCTTTATTTAAAACATATCTTTCTTTGAGTCACATCTAGGTTGTTAACGTTTTTCAATTTCTGAGGCCTTAGGTTGTCCTTTTTTCTTTGGTCATTTCCAGGCACTGTAACTTACAAACATGTCCTTCTTAATAAACAGATCTCTGAATGAGATAAATAATATTCCTCTTATCATAATACAGCATCTGAAATGACGATATTTTTTTGCTTTATTTATTTAAAATATAAATCTGACCTCATCGGGTTCGGGAATTTTAATGGAGATCGTAGGCCAGAGACCACTTGTTAGCTATAGTAAATATATACTAAAATTCTTGAGATATAATGAGTCCTTTGGTCTGGGCCTATGAAACAAAACTGACGACTATTTTGTCCTATAAAAAATTTTGCGAACTGCTCCAAAGCCCAATTTAAATATAGACAGCAAAGACAACTATAGTGCCACTGTCATTATGGGTTAGCTATATTTATTAATGAAAAATATTCATGAGATAAACTATACACATATTAAGAAGCAATACAAATCAATTATATTGTTACCATCATCAATACATTATTACATTGCTATCGAAATAATATAACAAAATCAATCAGATCAAATAAAAGTATCACTATACAAACTAAAACGATTTATATCTATACAAATGAAAGAGTAAGTTTACCGCTTTCCTGAAAGCAACCAACTTTCAGGAATTGCACTGAATTTGCCACGTTTTATTGATTTGTTTGGAATATATATTTTTTATTGAGGGAAATTCATAATTTATGCCTGGTGTAATGGGTCATCAAGATATTAATATACAGATATTATTCAGAAATTACAATTCAATTGTTTATCAGATTACTGCAATCATTTTTGTGTCTAAGTGTCAGCATTTGTGTTCCAGTCAGATATTGATGCACTTACCTTCAGAAGTTGTGACTTTAATAATCAAAATTAAAAAAAAAAGATATTTGAAAAAGTTTTTAGAAAGTTAAGTTATCGTGCATTCAAAACAATAATTGAAAATAATTTTACACATTTACTTATTTTAGAGAAAAAGTGAACTTAAGCCGAAAATATTTAAGTATTTTTTTAAATGTATTAGCAAAATATTGCATAGCCGGCTAGTATGTCACAACTTTGTTATTCTTTGTTGATACTAATATTTATCAGAATGTACTCTTGTTAATCATTTTTCAAAATCTCAAGACAACAGGTAGTTTATATTTCAAAAATATTTTTTAAATGGTACTGGCTTCTTCCAAAATATTACTAATTTGAAAATATTCGACAAAGTTTGGATTTCTGAATATTATATAACCAACTTTAATGTAAAAGACTCGATTACAACTTAAACATTATAATTGTGTTCTATAGTCAGTGTTCAATGCATAAAGAAAGCCCTTACAAAAAGTATATACATTCACAATACTTTTTATTTTTCTTAATTATAAAAATGAGGACACATCTTGAAATTAATTCTAATAAAAAATTAAAATTTCCATGTAAATTAATCAGAACAGAACCTTCCTCTTTTATTTTGGATATTAACTATTAGATTATAAAAAATTAAAAGTTCTTAATACAAACCCATTTAGATGTAAAAAGTAGCATTGTTCATTGTAACATTGATATCACAAAATTTGAATAAATACTTGTAAATGCATTATCATTAGCTCAAAACGAATTTAGAAACGCTATCCTTCAAGATTCGTTGTACATGAGTTGGGTTTTGCGTATTTTCATTTGCAAATGGACCGCATTCTTCTATGACCACATTATTGTCATGGGAATCATGGGTCTCACACTCATACATTGTTACTATGAAATAATGTCTGAACTTTCTTTAAGGTGTGACAAAGAGTGCTGAAAAATAACTACTCTGAAACTTTTTTCGTGTCTCCCATGTAAATCTAAATCAGCAGAGTTTCGATACAGTGCGTTCCATCTTTCCATTGTTTGGTACTATGTATTGGAAATACCATCGTGTTGATACATAATTACAACCCGTTGGTAAAATTCTGTGAAGTACTTTGTTCCGATTAATTCACATGGTAATGTAGAAATTCAAAAATGATTTCAAGTTCATCACACTACTAAGAAGTTCAGAAAAAATAACATCTCATTTATTGAAACGAGACAAATTTCTGGAATCAACAGGCGCGATGTGTTATAAAGAGATTACTATCAGAAGGAACCGTTGTGACAGGTGTTGCTTGGTCACTTCTGGCAACATACTTGCAGGTTATGTCCAAGAACTAATTTGGTCGATGCGTTAGTTTACAGTTTGATCTTTTGTAAATGGCTTCATTACTCTCTCTCTCACAATGGCATCGCCCTGCATGACGTTCATTTGTTTCCCGACATGTCAAAGTTGACCCTTCTTAGAGTAACTTCTTTATAGGAAATTGAATTCTGAGTGGTGTAAGTAAAATTAGTAATGTGTATGGTGTGCACAATATATGCTGCATGGAGTGTGTGTAGTGTGCGGTTCTAATGCTATAAGGGTGATGGTGAAAGGGTAGAGAGTCAGTTGCAAATGAGGTGCGAGAAGCGTGAGTATGATTGCCCGCGAACAGGACCGCGAGATGAGTCCGCTGCCCAATAAACTCCAACGGGAAGAGTCCGTCCCGGCGCCTGGCATGGACAGACCGGGCGATCGCCTAGAGTCCCGCAAGTCAAGGGGCCCAATCATGGGACTGTTGGGAAATGATGAGTAAAAAATTGAAAAAGAAATTATAACTCGAGGAAATCGTTTAGGTAATTTTATAAGTCGCGGTATAGTAGTCTGATATTTCACAACATTTTCAATTAATTTTTTACATTAAATAGTTAATTGTAGGCATTACATATAAGGTAGAACTCTACGAAATGAATCAAATGACGTTAACATAAACGTTTAACGTTTCCAGTGATCGATCAGCTGGAACACTTTAAATTTATTTGTTTTTTCAAATCAAGTCATAAATTCGCTTTTAAATCGCAAAACGAGAACCTTCGCGTTCTCGTGTCAAGAGAAATATTTACTGTCCATCCCATTTGTGTTCCCGTACCGTTGTGACAGCTTGTGTGGGGTGCCAATCTTTCGATTTCATTTATGTTCCCGTTGGAGTTGGTATTCCTATTCGTAGGCAGCTACAAAACTGCCTTAACCCCGCCACGCGGAGTGTACAATGGGTGCAATGGCATTCCAATGAGAGTGGAGGGAAAAGAACTTTGTGCAATCAGCGTGGCAGCAAGTAGCCAGCAAGTGCCGCTGCGGCGGCTCTCCGTATCCATAAGGCACCCTTGACGTCTAATAGGGGAAGGTGGGACAAAGTGGATTTTGCATTTAAAACCCACTGATTTGGAACCTTTCAGTTATAGAACAAGTATTTTGTTGAGAAGTTTGTTGGCGCGACTGTGCGATAATATCATGCTTCTAGCGTATCAGAAGAGAGAACTATTGCTGTTTTTCTGATTTTCTTCTGTGCCTTACAAAAATTTAAGTAATGTAAAACATTGTCTTTAGCATTATAATACAATCGTTCGAAAGAATTTGTTTCAATACTTTAGTTTTATTAGTAATGCTTTTCGATTTATTCAACCAAAGGAAGATAAATGTGATTTATTTAAACCATTTTGTGCTAGTGTCGAACGGGGCAAAGTAGGACATTGCTATTCGACTTTGCCCGGAAAGTTTTGACAGCATATTATTACAACTATCATTGATTTTTTAGAAGTAGGTAAATATTACGTAATCCCTCAATATCTTTTACACACAAAATGTTAGTTAAGAACTGGTTTCGAAACCACACAGGGAAAGTGGTGACTCTCCACAAAGTCAGGTCTCTTTTGGAGAAACATTTGTAAGCCTCAACAGAATGCTTTCTCTGGATTTAGATATGCCCTCAAATATTTTCTAATGATTCTCTCGCTCCAGCAGAAACAACAAATTGTGAACTGTCTGCAGAATATTTAAAAGCTATATTGGAAGCTACACCCATACACTGGAAGCACATACCACGTCATTGGTGAAGGCAGAATCTCAGTATCTGATAGTTACTCCTGAAGAAACGCTTCCTGTGACAGAATCAGCGCCAAATTCGTGTAAACCCATCCGCAGAAGTGGGAAAACATCCATCATAACATTACTTTGTTTCATAGAACTTCTAACTTCTGCCAAGTAATCCACTTCAAAACACAAAAGCGATATAAAAAAAAGCTATGTACGTAGACATAAAATAAATCTTCATTACATCAGTATATGATTTTTTATAATTATGATTTACGTTATTTACCAATATTTGTTTAATCAGTAAACAATATTATGTAATTAGCTTTGTTCCATTTTGCCCTAGGGATGGGGAAAAGTGAAAAAAATGCAGGTTCTCAGAAACTTAATAATAATAAGAACCTGTTTTACTGGAAGCAGAATATACTCTCTATATGTTATAGCTGAAGGTATCTAATAGTTTTTTTTTAAACAAAATGTACACTGTCTGGTTGCTACAAGGTTAACGGTTCCACTTTGCCCCCGTGTTCCCCTACATATGGGGACCCGAGACTAGAAGAGAAAGAAATTATTTTTCCGCGTTGAAGGGCGGGTGGAGTAGTGTGGTGGTGCATGTATGTGTGTGCTCGGGGTGTGCGGGGCGCGGGGGCGCGGGCACTCACCTCCTGTGCGACAGGAACTTGCCGGTGGCGTGGCCGGAGCCGTCGCAGCCGGGGATGGGGCACCTGCGGGAGCACCACTGTTCCAGCGCGCCAGCGGCCGCACAGCCTGGGGCGCCGCTGCCGAAAGCCCACAGCCTTCACCTCTACCTCCCCTCCACACTACACGCCCTTTGCTACCCCTTTCATGGTCTCGTGTTTTGAGATCTTTCTCCCTGGCAACAGTCAATGTTTTTCTGTTCCTATCACCGTTCCCCCTCCCCTCCGATTTTATCTTTTCATAATTTTTCCGACCCTAGATATTGTAATTATTTGACCATCGAGGAAGAAACTACAGGGAACTCAGAAAAAATGTTACAAACTTATAGGTCATGTCAAAGATTACCGGGCCAGCAGCTATTGGTAATGAACATTGGCAGGGATCTCGTAAAATGAAGCTACACATGTGTTTGGCAGCTAATATATTACTCGTGAATTGGTGTTTGGTAGGAACACAATCTGTCGCTGACAACAGAATTTCGTGTATCTGCCTAACACTCTTGCATGATGATTTGCCCTCCTATCAGTGCAGCAATGGCCAAAATTGCATTTGTGAAACTTCGTTTCATGAAATTTACCACAATATTTCAATGGCAAAAAATGATCTGCTACTCCTCTACATTTCCTAAAAGTTTGTGTAATTTATTTTAAGACATCCGGAATACGGAAGAATCTTTTCTAAATTAATTTCTACTGTTTTAACTTCATAGTACATTTTTGTTTTCTTAGTCCCTTCAAATACCAATTTTAAAACTGTGTTCACTTATTTCTGTAGAATATGACCTTTGATAAGCTTAAAACATTGACTTGCATTGCGAATCTAAGAAGAGGAGACAGGGAAAATCAACTCTTTGTATTTTAATTCTATCCCATTGTTGCATATTTGGACATTTTAAAATTAGTTTTGTTTTATCCAGTCAACCTTTACAATTAGCAACTTCCTATATTTTGTTTGGCATTCTATCTATCAAGATTTTACAAACCGCCAGATTTCTCGTTTTCGCATGAAGATTTAAAAAATAAGATATAGAAATATTAAATAATACATTAATATTCTCTCCTCCGAATACGTTCCTTCATTTTAGAACTGATTGATTCTCTTTAAAATTATGTACTTCATTTTGAGCACCAATTCAACGGAATAGTTCAATTGCCTTTTTGAAATATTTTGTGAATCCAGAAATCTCACTTAATTTCAATATAACGTAAAGTGACATTGATACACAAAAATCAAATAGCGTGACCAAATATTCTACTTCTTCTTTGCTTTTAAGCGTTTGGCACTAGAACACAGTGAAAATAATACCCCACCTCAAACTAAAAGTTCGTACGAATTCTATATATCGGTTATATTCACTTCCCTTCTGTTAAATTTGTTTTCTTTATGCAAATCAGTACTCCGCGCCTGAAAGTTCACTCGTTTTGTATATTTGGCGGTTGATATCCAGAATAAATCACCATCTTGAATTTAAGATTTGTGATTCGTAGTCTTCGTATGGTTTATAATAATTAACAAAGACATGCAATTTTCGTACAAAAAACTACACTTTTCTCGTCTCTAATTATTGTCCACCTCTCTCTGAAAGTTTTTTCACTGATGTCTGTATACATAATGCTCCTAAATTGTAAAATATCTTTATGACATATTATTGAAAAATAACATCATTCTATCTTTCCCAATTCTGTAAAAAGGTACAAAAATAATATATTGTATCTTCCCCAATTTTTTTCTTTCCTTTACCTGAAATACATTTCTGTTAGTTCAGAGAGATTTAATTCAGATAACTTTAATGCAGAGCAATTCTACAATATTTCTTTTTCTCCCATAATTATTTCCCCAAACAATTTTTGATTTACCTATGCTTCTTGAAAAAATGTTATATGAGAAATCATGTCATGGAACTTGAGTAAATAAACAAAACTGTGCATCAAAACACAGTATATTATTTTATTATACTATGTTTTGTCGAATTTTAAACAAAATAAAAAAAGACGATTAAAAGTAGTTTGTTTAGTTATATTTTATGAAGAGTTCCATAAATAAAGATTTAGAAAAAAATAGAGAATTAATTGTTTTAAAGAAAATTAGTTTAAAAAATAAATATTAATCAAATAAAATTTATAATCAATTTCCTTCTTGAATATCAGATAATTGTGCAACTAAAATTTGCTTGCCACTCTTTGGAGAAGACTTCTAAGTTAATATTAGTTTTCTGGCAAGCTCAAAATAACATTTTCATATATAATAATTTAAAAATTATCAGTTTTTTTGTTTTTTAAAATTAATCTACGAAATGATAATTATTGTAAGTGGTGAAATTTAAGTTGAGAAAAAAGTAAAGAAGACTGATAGAAAAATGATTAAATAAATAATAATCCCACCAACCATCCCACCCAAAATTGGTAACTTATTTAAAAAAAACAAGAGTAAAACGAAATCAATGTACATACATCAACTTGTAATTTATGAAACAACGAACGAAACAAAAGAATTCAACCGTTGATTCAAACTTCATGAACAATTTTATGATATTAAATGAACTAGACGTTCATTTAATAAATTATATTACATTTTGGAAATTACTATTTCATAATTTGAATTCTAAATAAGTTCATGAAGTAAGAACTGTTCTTCGAGATGTCATACCCAATGTGACTCCAAAAATGTTTCTGGAAACTAATCTATATTACTAAATTCTGGGGCGCACAGAAATTGAAAGAAAACTATTCAGTATCTAACCACGTGGGAGGCGCCTATGATTTTGGCAAAAATCCATGTATACAACTAATTTCCGACAATCATTCCGTGTGAATTCTCATACTCAGTGCGACACTACGTGCGACATAGCTAACGTCATATGACAGGAAGGCTCCAACAATGTATCCAGCCTTTAAGTCAGCCCGCCATTAAATATTCCCTATTCACGTGTTTCGTTACGAATCAGCAACATATTTTATATTCTTGGTTTACAAATAACTCTTGTACTATATATGAATGTATGCTATAGCAGAATTCGTCGATACTGTTTTTGTTAAAATATTTAATTTGTTGGCATGTTATAAAGGAATTGGTAGATTTAATTTTTTTGCCTCTCAACGATAGTTTTAACTTATTTTTTTTGCCACTCAACGAATGTTATATAGAACCGTTTCATTTCTTACTCCTGAGCAGTGTGGACTGAACTTTTGTGAACCAATTTGTGTGATTTTGTATAGCATTTTTGCTGAAGAAGTGTTTAATTTACTCAGAAGTGTTTAATTGAAGTTTCATATTTTTAGCTGATGTTATAATCAGTGATGAGTTATTTACTACGAAAGAATGCAGTGAAATGTAAAACTTATTAATATGTACATCGATAGTATTATTAGTAAATCTGGAAAGATCTGGAAAACAAGGCTATTCATTTCTAGTTAAGAAAACGTAATTTCTGATTGAATTAAGTTATCATTATGATCAAATACCATTACACCATCTCATGGGGATGTGTTTTGAACAAACCGCAATCACTGTTTCAGAGACCCTTCTTCCAAGGTACGTTGTTTGAAATTGTTTTAATTTTAAAGTTGCAAGCCAGGTCTTTCAGGATAATTTCTGAATTATTTCTTCGTGGGACGGTTTTATTTAGCTATGTGACTTCCATGATAGGGTAATCCATCGTCAAAGATTTTCCTTCTGACGTTTAAGTGCCACTCAACGTATTCGTTTTTTTTTGGGTGCCTTCTCAGTGAGGAACATGGATATGACTCATTGAAGCTCAGAACTTGCCCCAGAAACTTCGTATGCATGGATGGGTGCCTACTTTACAGGAGCTTTCGGTTGAGATTTTTTCGGATCGTCTCTATCGGTCTTGGATTTTTATTCGCTTTTTATGTGGCTGAATTCTGAAATGTTCAAATCAGTACTGAAGAAATACGAGAGACAGTATTTTCTGTACAGCTCAGGGAATGTGAGAAAGTGTTATAAGGCCAATGGCGTACATGTAAACACGCAGACTTAAAAATTTAGTTTTAACAAAACCATTGATGTGCCATTGGTAATGACCATCAACGTAAACATGAACATTGATATCGAAACCCGAACGCAGATGTATTATCTGCAATCGAATGACATTAGGAAAATGGATCGAATTTGAACGATTATTACTTTGCATTCCATGAAAGCCACGCATAATTCTTGGAGCACATAATGAGTAATGATAATGAAAAATAGCAATTTAAACTATTGCAAACTGCGTTAGTATCTAACGAAAAGGACATTAAGAAACATGCTGCGATACACAATCATGTGATGTACACGTAGGCTTCCGCGGCTCGAGTCCCGGACAGCCTAGAAGTAACAATCATGTGATCTCAAATCAAGACGTTAACGCGTACGCTTGCAGTGAACGAATTCTCATTATTACTTTTTATGTCAACGATTATATTTACTATTACGTTCAGGGATGTGAAAGCTCCCATCGAATAACATGACATCAAGCTTTGCGTTTACGCTTAAGACCTTCATTTGTGAGTGGGAACCTTTAGGCTGCCGAGAACTTGGCAAGCCCAAGAACTGACGGGGTGTGTCTGGCTCCGGCGAGCAGAGTATTCGCCGGAGAGGGGGGAAAGGCGCTTCGGGGGGGCGATGTACCAGTGTCTCGGTGGGGCCTGTGCGTTCCGCGGCAGCGAACGGGCGCGCCTTACCTACGCGCGCCCAGCGGGGATCGGTGTTTTCGGTTCGGGGCGCGTGGGCGGGCGGTCGGCGTGGGCGGGCGCGAGCGCGGGGGGCCTCGAGCGCGGGGAGGGCGGGAGGCTGGCGGCCGGGCGCCCGGGCGGGGCGCGCGCCCGCCGCGCGGGGGGCGGAAGCGGGGCGGCGGCCCTAGGAGGGGGCCCCGCGCGGCGCGGGGCGCGGCCGAGCCGGGGGCCGGTCCCGTCCTGCGCGAGCCCAGGACGCACCTAATGTGAGCGCCGGGCCGCATGAAGTCAGCCCAGGAGCAAAGGAAGGGGCGCCGGCGGGGGAGCGGGGCGGGGGCGCGGGCGGACGCGCTCCTAGCGGCTCCGAGTGCCTGCCGTCGCGGCGGGACTTGGCTCTTGGGCTTGTTCGC